TGGCCCTATTTCGGAATTCTCTGGATCCGCCCCTGGTTTACTATATTTCTCTAAATTACTGACAAACTTAAGTTAATTAATTAATTCAGTACCGTATCCTTACAAAGAACGAACATTCTATGACATAAGAGATCTACTTACTCTAAATACCGCTTGATACAAGCGGAGCAGTATCTACATCCACATACGGACTGTTTTGGTAAGCGGAGTGGGTAGCGACATAAGTTACAGTGCAAATCATCATCAACTTTCTTCTTAAAGTGTAAATCATAACCTGTTTTGTCTACATCATCTTTCGTTAGGTGGTAAGACGATTGAGTAGAAATTGAAGAGAGGTCGTTACTCATCATTAAATTGATCCTATAATTATCCCTGAAAAAGTTAATATTGTATATTGATAAATACTACAATTTATGCTGGTAATACAATGTAGAGCAATATTTATAAATTGTAAACTATAGAGAACACTAAGAAATCGCTCCAACCGATATTCAAACCATGGTGTCTGGTTTGACGGTGTAGGCGCCTGTCTGTATCAACTGACCCACTGGCAACGGCGGCGTAACGTTTTTGAAAGTGAAGGGGGCTTCTTAAGGTAACAAATCCGGTTCAATTGTTATTATGATCCCTCTAGATGGCCGGAAATGGCACTCTCAGATTTAAATTTGAATATAATTTTGTGTTTTCTCTATTTTTTTGTTATAATTTTGGAAATTTTTGGAGGGTGATGGTAATCCAATTTTTCGCTAACTTATGGAATTTAAATGTGGTTACATTACTCTGTTTGATGGTTTACTGTAAGCCAATCAGTTACACTTACGTCTTCATACTGTAGTTAACATAAAGAGAACTAAAGCGTCGCTCTATAAAGTGTGCGTACCTACCGCTCTACATATAGAATTAATGCAAGGCGGGCGATTCCATTGCATTTCTTCATGCTTCGAGGGTATAGTTTTAAGGACAATTTACAGATGCGCGCTTTATAGACGTCAATCAACCACATGTATACACTCGTTACTCAACTCAAAACAGGGAACTTGCAATGTTTTGAAAATGAAAAAAAAAAATCTACATTGTATAATAATTGTGGTTAATTCAAAACTAACAGAAGAAACTTTCACACTCTCGTTTATAAAAACGGGGCACTAGTCGTCGAACGCTCGGAATAGATATCACCATGAAGAGATACAGATAAGCCTAATTCAAATTTTATTATTTCCAGGGCAACAAAGAAAAACTACTAAAATAATTGTAACTTAATAAATCGAAAGGTCCACTGATTAGTCTCAGATAAGATGTATAATACATACCCGAACTATACTGTAGCATACCTACCTATGGCCTATCCTCTATTTCTCGAATCCGGATCGATTTAGATAGGGTCAAGTGTCGGGATTCAATATTTTGACATTAATTATGTCATCATCAAGAATAAAAAATAACTGTACTTCCCGGAGTTGATCTTAAATACAATTTTCAGTAGGCCTACAGTATTTAGGAAGGAGAATACTAAATAACTAATCTAGTACAGTCATTGTATAGCCTCAGTTAGTTTTGTTTGTTTAGTTATTACATTATAATTTGTACGGCAATACCGAAAATCCAATATGATTGTATTTTAATTAATTATCTAGTAGGCCTAAGTTAGTTCGGTTTTCCTGAATGAATGAAAAAAAAATTATGCAACAAACCTTAAACAGTTTACAATGGATTGGTATGGCCTTCTCGTACACAGTACACCTGTCAACCAACTCGTGTAGAATTTCTGAATGAATGGCAATGGCTTGTACAGTTGTTACTTGACTAATCATTCTATTTTTAGAATGGAAATCCCCCCGCTCAGCATCTCATAAGATGACGTCAGTATCGGAGCGTTCTGGAATCAGCCAGATAGATATCATCTTTACCTGGTAGTCAAAAAAATTTACACCATAGATTCTATATGTTATGAAAAAACATTTCGCGATATTGCGTTGCATAAAAGTTGGGGTTCATTGAGAAAATCGAAATTTAATACCCAGTTTTTGGCTACTGTACTTTAAGCCTTCGTCGCTGATTGTGACGTCGAATGTGACGTCACGATTCAAATACGATACGCCGTTGCTGCCGTTGGCGTTCTTATTACAAAAGTATGTTATGGATGAATATTAAATAATTATCTGCATTACAATATATTATTATGTATCGCAATATATTTATATACTATAAGATAATACTAAAACAATTATTTGAAAAATAACAAATATAATGTAAATTGTTTTTACGTCTAGCATAAAGTGACCTTTCATATAATTTGATGACGCCCTCAGTTGTCTTAAATGCACTGACTTGCATACGATTAGGATAACTATAAGGATCGAATTGATTTACCCTATATTTTGGATAGTTGCTAAATACAACGGGTTCAGCCGAGCTGGCATGTCTTCGTATGTTGACGTCATGCAAATCTTCAGCTATGTTTTGTATTAATTTCCTCGACAAAGTATGGGCCCTCTCTGTAATCACACAGCATAGCAAAATACAGTCCGTACAACTAATTCCTTCATGGTACAACCAATGTAAGAAAAAATAATTTGTCCCTGTGTGTTTTTCTTTCCAAAAATTAGGATCCCTGGAATATTATCAATTCGTGGGGCCTACACAGAGTGAAATAATACATAGGCCTAGTTAGTCTTATTTTAGCGGTAGGGATTAGGCCTTAATCACGAAAGAAGTGAAAACAATTCAATGGCCTAGGCCCTACTATAGTACAATACTGTAG